ATAAATATGTCAAAGTTTGCTTCTGGGATGGGTGAACTAGGTTTTTAGGGTTTTTTGGTTTTCTTTCTTTCTTTTTTTTTATATCTTTAGGGAAGGGTCTACAGGGTATTCAGGGTCTCACTACTAGATCGAACTTGTAGTGATCTGCCTGTTTACATCCTCCCAAGAGCTGGGATTGCAGGCCCATGCCACTACACCCAGTCTCAATTGTCTCAGTGTGCCCTGCGGGTGAGGCCAGTATGGCAGGCCCTGGGGTTTGAACTCTGGGCCCCTGCGCCTGCTTGCAGTTGCGCTAATCTGCTGACAGCCCTTGCTGAACTAGGTTTTGATTAAATTTTTACAATAAAAATTTCCAGCATGTAAAGAACCAGTATACATGTACATGTACCTTTAACAATATATAATCATTCCAATATCCTTTTTATTTTATTTTATTACTGTAGGATTTACTTATAGTCCATACCAATTAAGTTGATGATGGAGGCTGATGCATGTAAATATAATCTCAATCTTTTTCACCCCACTCTCGTCTCTCTTCTACCTCCCTCCACCACTTCATATATTCTTATCATTTAATTTCCTAATAGAAAACAGATTATTTTAATGAAATGTTAATGTAATATATCTGCAGGGGTTTTATTTTCTGTTATTTTTTCCTTACAAATACTTCTGAATGTCTTCAATCATAAATCTGACGGCATCACATTAAAGTATTATGACACCTATAAAGCTATTGTTAAGAGAGTCCTGAATGCGTATTATAAAATCCCTTTAAACTAGTTGAATCGATTTATTTTAAAGTACCATTTTCTCCCATACATTGTACAGTAACCTGCATCATGAATAACTTCAATAAATAATTGAAAGAAAGTTGAATTGATCGTTTTGACTGGTATGTGCGGGTGTGTAAAATATCAGTGAGGATACCAGATATGTTTTGTGATTCTGACATTTTCTTCTGTTGTGATACCAATAAAATAATCTAGCTGTGTTAGGCACAAGTACTATTTGTTTGTTTAAAAAGGTTAGCTCTTATTCTTGTAAGAAAGATTCTTTTCAACCTTCTTTGAATTATATTAAGTTTAATAAATAATTGGAAAGTATGTACCTTTTCAAAGCCTTAATATTTAAATATGTAATAAAATTTTGGAATAGCTGTATGATATTTTTCCTTTCTCAAACAGTAATATTTATGTATGTTCTCCATATATATATATATATATATATATATATATAACTAGAAATATTTCATAAAAATATATAAATATATTCCTTTCATTATCATAAATTTCATGCATTTTGATTCTTCAAATTAATGATTATATTGTGCTTTTAACAAAAATTTTGAAAATTCTATCTAGGTCTTCTAAGTATTCATAGAAATAGACAATAATTCATAGAAACAATGCAGAATGATAATCACCTACTTCTGCTTTAAGTACTTTTCAAACATCTTTTATTTATTTATTCATTTGGTACAGGGTCTTGCTCTGCAGCTGGGCTGGCATGGCATGTGATACCCAAGATCTAACTCAGGTCCTTGTGCTTGCTAGGCAGGCACTTAGATCTCCGAGCTGTCTCTCCAACCCTAAGTACTTTTTGTCTTCTACTTTAAGGAAAAGTTTGGTCTGTGAAATAGTTCAGTGGACTAAGCACCTGCTGAGACAAGCACAGGGCAGGGGATCCCATACCCGGCACACATGCCGCACCGGCCCCATACCCCCGGGTGCGCTGGTCTGGCCACCGAGACCGGACGTGGTTGTGCACGCCTGTGATCCCAGTGCTGGGGAAGCTGAAAACAGGAGGATCACTGCCGGTCTCAGCCGCATAGTGAGACCCTGTACCATATACATAAAACAAACGAACAAAATAAATAAATAAAATATAAAAGTATATTCCCAAGAATTTATTTGCTGTGCTCTGATTTCATTTGAAATGTCATCAGTGACAGAGAAAATTCTGCCAAAATATGCTATTACTTCTACTTTTAATACTCACTTTTCACTTTTACTACCTCTCATTATTATGTTTTTTTTTCCTTTTACTATTCTTTCATGAACAGTCACAAGCAACACTATTAAGCGCCACTTATTATACATTTCGAAGTCAGGCACATGTCATGCATGCGATGCTGCTTTGCTGCTCTCAGAACAACTCGGAAGAATAATACTAATATAATAATCATTTTATTCAGATAGGCAAGTAGAAATAATCTTAGGAAACTTAAGTTATGTAATTAAAAATAAAAAGCTTTCAAGTGCAAAAAATAGTTTTTAAATGTAGGACTGCCGGTTGCCAACACACTGACGCTTGCCCATTTAGATGCTCAGTTCAAGAAAAGATGCTGAGGTCGGGAAACCACTCTAGTCCTCATGTTGTTCTCTTTCTATTAGATCATAACCCAGAGGAGTTAAACCCAGAATGGAAATGACTCCAGCAATTGAAATTATAAATGGACCCCTCTCAAATGCATTCATTCACATTCAGCGTGTGATGAATACTAACTCTTTTTACTTTTGGTACCAGAAATCAAACTCACACCCTTGCCCTTGCCAGGCAGGTCCTGTGCCCTGAGCTACAACAGCAACCCTAACAACACTTTCTTTTATGTATTATTTTTACATGTCAAAGATTATATATATGTATATGTATATATATATATATATATATATATATCTTTAAGACTGCAATAGATTATAAAGTGAGGACTGCTATGATCATTTAAAGACTGTTACACATTTTTATTGTGCAAAGAAAGCTGGGAAACATTTAGCATTCAAATTCATATATTTTAAAATACAAAAATTCTATGTACTTTTCATTGTGTGACTTTGGAAGGATGGAGATCAGAAGGCAAATTCTAAACAAGAAAAGAGAAATTTATGAAGTTTAGCTTTAGATTTCTTAAAATGAATTCCCAAATTCTTCTCATCCTTTCTCAACAGTTAAACTACGTTTGCACAGGGTTGTTATTTATTGTGTAAAATTGAAAAAGGACTCTTGAGTTCTCATGACTTTTACATGTAGAAAATGGTATTTCTTCATTTAGAGATTTCAAAATAATGATGAATACTACATTTAATATTACTTCACTAATATCTACATTAATTTCAGGTCATGTTTTATATGTGTTCTTTGTGTAACACGTGATTCTCATGACCAGGGGAGCATTCAGAAAGGAAGACTTTTCAAACTTTGCTTGGAAGAGAAGCAAATCTTACCTTTATTCCTAAATATGTATTATCTTCATATTCCAAAATTGGAGTTATAAGTCACATTGTATGAATTTAATATCTTGTGCTTTTGGTCTTGATACACTACTATCTTTTATGTATGTGTAAGAAATCAAACTGTTTGTTACTTATGACTATAGATAATGGTAGAGCTTACTTTAAGTAAAATTAATATAATTTAACTGTACAAATGCAAGTCAACATGAATGAAATTAGTGAATTCCTACATTTTCATTTTCACTATAAGTACAAATTATTGAACAAAGATGGAATTCTTTCTTGATAGTAGCTATTGCTCAACAGTTTATCCTTTACTCCTAGAGAAGAAAAATTTTAATTTATTATCAAGTAGTGAGAATAGAGTAAGTTAAGACCTAGAAAGGTCATGGTGTTTAAAATTTCTTGCTCCTGTACCAAGTTCTGATAGGTAAATTATAGTTTCTAATTTGTAAAAATCAAATAATCAGTTATCACAGAGATATGGAAATTGGGTAAATTTAATTTTGAGGTCAATTTCATACAGTACTCTTCTGTAGCAGAAGAAAAGAAGAATCTTTGGTTGAAATTAAGTGAACAGTGATTGTCTAGCATGTTACCAAGATATATATAGAGAGAGTATTGACTGAGCCTCCATAATTTATATTCACATTTAAAGCATTATATTGGATCTACTTCCTGACCTTACATAAATTGGTAATTTACATTCTATTACTTTGAAAGCCAGCAATACATGCATGTCACAGCTGAAGTTCAAGCTTCCATCCATACAAGGGAAGTGATTAGCAGATTGATGATTGCTGCCCTTAAGTGTGTACAACAGAATTCCGAAAGCTGTTTCTTTGCATGTGCATGTTTTTAGAAAGTAAGACTTTCTGCTCTGATGGGTGTTGCATTTCATATGACTTCCTGGTAAGAAAAGCAGTATTATTAAATTGATAAACTTACTTGTGAAGAGCTTCTGATCAGAGGAGAGAATCTTCTTGCAAAAATTAGATTCCATCACAAAACTTAGTCAGAATTGACTTCGTGAGAGTGTTTCTTAATTCCCTGTGTATGGAGAATAGCCTGGTTTAAATTTTAGTTGTGATTCTACAGTGTGTTTGTGAAGCATTAATTTTTACAACACCTTTTAATTCTGGATAGTTCTTGAAATATTTTTTAATATCTTAATGTGAAAAGCATTTTATGTGGTGTATTATGAATGCATGAATTAAAAATGCTTTTTTACTTTCTTTTGAGCTATATGAAAGAGTTACGAACCAGTCACACTGTATAAAGTGCATTCCAGTGTCACATTCAGAAAGATCAACAATTTAAAACCTTTAAAATATCATTAATTATATGAATAATATTTTTCACAGTAGATGTTTAATTTGCATGAAAAATGTTTATGGTGTATTTAGAAAAGAATAGCATGGGCTTTATTTGAATGAAGTCATAAAATGTCTACTGTTCTGTGTTTCAAACATCTGCACTGGTAGACATTTATTTTTTTAAATTCTTATACATAAAAAATTACTCTCATAAAAATTTCCAAAGAAAGATGCAAATTTTTATTGGGTTTGTATGTAAGTTCAGTTATTGTAAATTCTATAATATTTTTAGTAGTGAATGCTTGGACTTTAAGATTGTGATTTTGCTCTTTCTATGGAAACACTCTAAGGAGATGTGCTGCAATGATGAGATTTTGCAGAAGAATATTATTTCAGCTCTGAGCTACAATTATTCCTAAAAATATCTGATTATTAATATCTATTCTCTTTAAAGTCTCAAATATCTATCAGTGTGGAAGAGTGGGAAGATACAAAAGATTCCAAAGAGCAAGGGCACCACCGCGGCAACCACCGCAACTCGACCTCCAGCGACCAGTCTGATCACCCCTTGCTTCGGAGGAAGAGCATGCAGTGGGCCCGAAGACTGAGCAGGAAAGGTCCAAAACACTCTGGTAAAACAGCTGAAAAAATAACCCAGCAGCGACTGAACCTCTACAGGAGGTCAGAAAGACAAGAGCTTGCTGAACTTGTGAAAAATAGAATGAAACACTTGGGTCTTTCTACAGTGGGATATGGTACGCTCTTTAAAACTACTGTATTTATGGATTTGTGATTTCTTGCCTTAGTGTTTATAGAGTTGGCTCTGATTTAATAAAGAATTGCATCTTTTCATTTCACAGGTTAATTTGTAGAAATTAGTTGTACGTACCTCATCTTCTATTGAAAATGTAAATGATAGTAAGGAAAATAATATTCTAAAATATTTAAAGATTTATTTAGTACTTGAGGCAATATTCAAACTCATTACGTGGTTTGTCTCAATTTTTATTTTCACAAAAATTCTGAACCAGATTTTCTATTTCCATTTTAGAAATAAATAAACTAAGTTGAAATGACTTGATATTTATCTTGTTCACAGCCGAGATTTATATTTGTCTGTCAAACACCAAAAATTCTCTTACACACACACACACACACACACACACACACACACACACACATAAACACACACACACACCACATAGGACTGCATATACTATGCATCTGAGGCAAAGGAAAGCAGTTAGTGATACCAGACATGGGTAAATCATAATCTTCTTATAAATTGTGCTTGATAACTTATGATAAAGAAATAGTCTTTAAAGAATTTAAATTTGAAGATGAACTAGTGCTTTATTTCATATCGCATGTTTTCCCCATGATTATTAAATTCCTATATTGATCAGTAATTAGAATATAGTGTATATCAAAACAGTGTTAATAATTGATACACAATATTTTTCATATATCATTATCACTATACAATTTTATTTTAAGATAAATTTTATTAACTCCTAGTGAAATTCAGTGACTTACATAGTAGTGTATGTATCATAGAGAAATCCAATTGCATTTATTCATAGATAGATTGATTGATTTTGGGTGATTAGGACCTAAGGTGCTATATCTTGGAGTTGTGCAGGTTAAGGATAACATAGAATGTATTTTATATTTACTCTCATTTCTTTACCTTAAAGTTTCAATTTGAGACAATGTCCATAGGGAGAAATTTTAATCATTAGAGTTTAAGTGAACTTATCTTTGTTTCTTAACAAGGAAATATGTACATTGTAATGTAGTACCTTATGTCAGGGACTATACATGTTTTCTCATTATTCCATATAACTAATTAGATAGAGGTGTCTCATTTTATTCTTAAAGAATTTTACTGTTAGATGTTAAAGACCTTGGCCAAAGACATACAGCTAAAATGTGTTAGAGTCAGTGTTTCATTTGTGTTTAAGATTGAAATTATAAAACAGCACTTAAAATATGTAGAAATGACTCATTTGTGACTAGAAATGTTAAGGTAACAAATTAATGCCTTATGGCAGGAATTAAACTTTAAAATCCAAAACTATTTTTAAATAGACTAATAGCTATCTGCCTATTCAATAGCATAAATTGACTAAGTGACTAAAATCCTATATTCATGGCTAAAATCCTATATTTTTATGTGCTAGTTATTACTAAGATGCAAATGAAAAAAATTCTAGTAAAGGGTTGCTCAGTAATTTTCCAATTGTCTTTCAAACATTTACCTCTATGTGGTTCTATAAGCAGGGTGGAGGTTAGAGTTTGACTCTCAAAGGCATAAAAATGCCTGAATTGTCTTTATGGGGAGACTCACCAGAAAAATGTTGTGTTTTTCATTTAGTTATCAGTATGATTCATTTCTTTCAGTTTGTTAATGTCATAGAATTATCCTTTCATAATGGGAAAAAAGATTTGTCTACCTGTTTTCTGCCTGTTTCATATTTTCTTTCTCATCATCTCTCTTTTCTATCCATTTATCCATGAATTCATCAGTCTATTATACAGCCATACATTGAACACCTAATAACAGAGTAGTTATGAAAGCAAAGCTTGAAATCTAATGTGATCATGGAATTCTGGACTTCTCCATTGATTTCTAATTCCTAGAAACTTATAGCTATCCTTTTGGAACCAGGAACTCTTCTAGGCATTGGTAATAAGACACTATTTGACAAGGTCTCCATATTTATAAAACCTATATTCTAGTACCAGGCTACTAGTTGATTTAATTTCTTACCCTCTTGAAGCTGTACTTTTATCTATAAAACGAAAATGCCAATGATTTATTGGCTGATTTGTTGAAAGTGACAAATGAGATAATGGGCAATAAAATGTTTAGCCAATATCTGGAATTCATTAAATATTATAAACAGCTTGAATTTTTTTTGTGGGGGGCATCAGGAATTGAACTCAGGACCTTGTGCTTGCAGGCAGGCGCTTGTGCCACTGAACTACATCCCCACACTCCCTTAACGTTTGTTTAACAACTGTATGTATGGCTTACTTTATACTCTAAAAATGTAGCAGTTTTAATTCACCTAAAATATAAAGTGTTTTTTTTTTTTTTTTTTTTGCCTTTGGGTGGCATTGAGTTAATCATGACTCACAGTATGCCTTGATCTGAATACAGCTCACTGCTCTGAGAGCATTAAACAGATTGCTGCTACTCTGTGGTTGAGGGATGTAAAGAAAAGGGGGAAAAATGCCACTTGAGGGCTCTGCTTTTAGCTACTGAGTATAAAATGGTGACATTCATAGAAAATAGAAGGTAAATACTTTGAGGTAAAGAAAATGCATTTGGTGAGTGCAGAGACACTTTCTAATAAGTGATTCTTGTCCCATTTAATATTCAACAAAAAGAAAGAAGCTATGACTATAGAGCCAGCTCTTTTGTCACCATATGGGTTGCAATTAAAGCCGCAGGAGTAGACAAAATGATTGCCACAGGAGTGATTATTAGGGAAATCTCAAAACTCACATTTCTGGAATTATTGAGGAAATCATTGTTAAATGAACAGACAGACAAATAAGGGCTGAAGTGTCTAGAACTAAGTTACCCAAAATGTATGCGATAGCATTATAGTGTGCAGAAGATTTGCTACATGCTGTATGATTTTTTTTTTGCCTTGTGAAGATTCAGTGGGCATGGCTTATTCATGGGCAGCTCTACACTGGTGACATTTAGGCATAGGAAGATTTAGGCATTGTTCAAAATGCTGAAAAATAGTATGTCCTGTGTCTTAAATGACCAAAAAATATAGTAGTAGTCTAGAGCAATATGAAAACTAGAGATATAAGAGAGACTGATTTACTGTGTCACATGATACTGAGAGCAGAGTGATATGTCATTGGTGGCTTTGATAAGGATGGTGTCACTTTAATACACGTGAAAGCCAGATTTGAATATGTTGGAGAATGATATTGCATAAGGATTTAGATATGACAGGTTTAAAATATATATAAAAATTAGTATTGATTAGAAAGAGCAGAAAAGCTGAAAACTGGTGTGGTTTAAACAAGAATAAAGATTTTATTTCTCTTCGAGATCAAGATCTTTGATCTGAAAGCAGTGAAAATTCAGGCTTCTGTCTTGTTATTCTATCCTGCTTCCCTTACAAAGCCCTATCTTGGCATAAAAATAAATTTTGGTCTCCATTTTGTCTATATTCTACCCAAAGGTAAGGAGAAAATGATAAGAAAAGACTTGTCCTTTCAATTAAAATATAATACTAAACAGTGATATTTTAACTATATCTCATGGACAGATGTGACCAGTGATCTTCCTATGCTGCCTTGATTGGATTAACAGCCATGTAGAAAATTGTAAAACGTACTTTTAGGCTCACCTGGGTACATCCTGCAGGCATGACTTTAGGTGCTGCCTATGGGACCCGGCTCCCTTCCTCTTGTGCATCGTTCCCTGCTATGCTTCCTATTTGCTATGAACTAAGCAGCTTTGCTCTGCCACACTGTCCACCATGACTCCATTGCCTTGAGACTGGCTGACTATGTACTAAGCTCTCTAAATGTGAATGAAATTAATTTCTCCTCCTTCAAGTGTGGGTGGCAGATACTGTGTGCAATTGACCTCACACCCCTCCGAAAAAATCCTGAGTAATGCACGAAGAATGCTTGTTTTATGTTTCATGGTCTAAAATTATATTAAAGAGAATAAGGATAGTGTATATCAAGTAATAACTTGCTGTCTCCACCACAGCTGACAATTTTTGGAGAAGTTTCATTGTGAAAGAGACAAGCTTAGTAGATTGAGCTCTCTGTGAAGAGTTGAAGGTGAAGGGAAGTGAACATAGTTGAGAGATCTTTGCTTGGGAGTTTTCGATGCACAAGCAAATGCATGTTTTCTTTCTTTCTTTCTTTCTTTCTTTCTTTCTTTCTTTCTTTCTTTCTTTCTTTCTTTCTTTCTTTCTTTCTTTCTTCTTCTTCTTCTTCTTCTTC